TTTTTTTTGGAGAAAGAGAAATGGGAGACTTGGAATTTGATCCAAATTCTTTTAGGGTTAAACACGTCCTGCAAGGGTGGCCATTAAATCAACGAGGGGTTGGATTAAATGGTAAGCGGTTTGTTCTAATTTAAGCAAAATTTCGAGTTTGAAACCTTATGTACGCAGCAGTTTTCGTTGGGAGACTCACTCACCATTTTCAAGTGCGCGACGCAAGTTAAGTCTAGATTAATTGGAGCGAAGCTCCGGATACTGAGCAAAAAACCAAAAAAAAAAAAAGGGGTGACCATTGAGCCTGGACGGAAGCAGGTGTTCATTTAATGTTATATTATGTTTGTTTAATATTACAAAATCATTATAAATTTACCATTCTATAATGGCTGGAGTTTTTTATAAAGAAAAATATGGCCCCGTCCATGTCAAACCGAGTCAAAAGGCACCAATAAAATTGCCCGCATCAAACCGATTGTTCCCAGGAACTTTCCTTGAAAATGCTGGGCAATTAATGACATTCTCCCCTGACATTTCTGTGTAAATGCAAAAAGACTTCCCGTTCTATCGCAATTAGAGTATTCTCAAGACTCATATTGACCGGATTAGTGCCTCTCTCTTTCGATCTCATTGTTCAATCTTTGTCTGCAACAATGGCAGATGCAGTTGTTTCTACCATCGTACAGCAGGTATCAACGTTGATATCTGAAACAGCCTTTGTAGTTGTGAGCCTACTGTGGAATGTGGAGGGAGAAGTGGAAAAGCTCAGCAACAGTTTCTCATCCATCAAAGCTTTACTTGAAGATGCTGATGAAAAGCAAATATCTAACAAAGCTGTCAAGTTATGGTTCGATCGGCTTAAAGAGGAATCTCTCGACATGGAGGATGCTTTGGATGAGTGGAAAACTGTACTCCTGCATGAGGATGCTTTGGATGAGTGGAAAACTGTACTCCCGCATCGACCAACTGCTGGAGCTGAAGAAGCTTCTCTTCAGAGGAAAGTAAGCCTGTTCCTCCATCGCTTTTCTTTTAATCGGGTTCGTAGATACTATCGAATTGCTAGAAACATAATGGAAATTAATGGGAGGTTAGATGAGATTGCTAAGGAGAAAGATAGGTATGTGCATCTGCTGTTAACAGATCGGGCTACTAGTGGTCGTCCGGTTGGGTCAACAAATCCACGAGAAACTGCATCTTTTATTGATGAGTCTGGGATGGTTGGTCGAGATGAGGTGAAGAAAGAAATTATAAGTCATTTGTTGTGTGGGAGTAGCACAGAAGAAGAGGGTAGCTCTATTCAAACCATATCTATAGTGGGAATTGGGGGAATTGGTAAGACTGCTCTCGCCCAATTGGTCTACAATCATGAAGATGTTAAACAACATTTCACTAGAATCTGGACATGTGTTTCAGACACTTTCACTGTGAAGGAAATCGCAAAAGCAATGATTGCAGAGCTCGAAAGCACGAAGAAAGCAGAGGTGGAGCCAAACGTCCCATTAAATGCTCTTTTAACAAGAATTGAGAGTTCCATAAGGGGAAAGAAATACCTTCTTATTCTTGATGATGTTTGGACAAATGACAAAGAAGACTTTGGAGGACTGAATGTCATTCTCAAAAGTGGTGCTCCAGGAAGCAGGATTTTGGTGACTACTCGTGATCATGCTGTTGCTAGAGGCATGGAAAGTTCACACATCATCCCTTTAAAGGAATTGAGTGAAGAGCTATGTTGGTCCATCCTTAAGAAAAAAGCACTTCGAAGAAGGGACAAAGAGACTTGTGAAGATTTTGAGGCAGTTGGGCGGCAAATCGCTGGTAAGTGCAAGGGTCTACCACTCGTTGCGAAGACTCTGGGAGGCCTCTTACAAGTTAAAGACGCTAAAAAACAGTGGTTGGAGGTCTTGAATAGTGAGTTATGGGGAATGGAAATAGTGCATAAAGAAGTTTTTGTTCCTCTCTTGTTGAGTTATTATGATCTGCCTTCACCAATAAAAGAGTGTTTGGCTTATTGTGCTGTCTTCGCTAAAGACAAGCGTATTTATACTTGTCATTTGATTGCACATTGGAGGGCACAAGGTTTCTTAGGCCTTGATGATGGGGATGATGCATCATTGGAACTAAAAGGCGTGGAGTACTTTAAGTGCTTAATGGCACGCTCTTTCTTCCAAGATGATTGTCGTCCTTACCTTTTTTATTCTGATCGGCATGGTCCTTACCATTTTAAGTGTAAGATGCATGATTTGGTACATGACTTCCTTCTTTTCTTGACCAAGGGTGAATTTATGACAGAGATCGTCAAAATAGGTGATAAAAGTTTGAAATTGAACTCAGAAGGTGATAAAACTTGTCGGCATTTGACATTGATGGCTGATAGCGGCCTCCATTTTCCTGAATCCATTTCAGATGCAGAAAAATTACGAACTGTTGTGAGTGATGCTGTTACTAGTGAGAAGGCCCTGTGCAATTTATTTAATCAAGCAAGTCGCTTAAGGTTGTTGGAGTTGGATATGCAAAAATATGAGGGTTCAACTATTCCTGAAGACTTGGCAAACTTGTTGCACTTAAGGTACCTTAACTTGGCACATTGCTATAACCTTAAAAGGTTGCCTAAAGCACTCTGTAGATTGTACAATTTGCAATTTCTAGATCTGTACAGCTGTTTTGAAGTGAAGCAATTGCCAACTGAGATTGAAAATTTAGTCAACTTGAAACTTCTTCGCACCACAGCGTGCTTGAACTTAACTTGCTACCCAAAAGAAGTCGGGAGATTAACTCGTCTTACACAATTAATAGGGCTCATTGTGAGAGTTGACTGTGACGACCCTAATGAGTTTAGCATTGGAGATCTGAAAAACTTAGAACTGCTTGTTGTGCTTTCCATGAAAATTGTGGGAAACAGAATAAATAGGTCTGAATCTAGAAAGGTGAATCTTCAGAAATTGGAGGAGGTGAAGATATTGAAGGCTGGAACCATAGCAGAAGCTGGAGATGCCATACTTGAATCCCTAAACATGTCCTATGTGCCAAGGTGGAGCTTTGAAGAGGACTACTATATGCATGGCCCTTTCAGTTCATCAAGAAATGAATGGTTTGTAGCCTCTTATATTAAATCATTCTTGTCAAATTAGCATTATAAATATTAACTTCCTTCTTCGTAAATATACACACATAGTAATCATAAGCTTTGTATTGCAGCTTCTGCTACGGCTTTTTTTGAACAACTGGACCAAGATAATGCTTGTGAAGATGAAAGCTGCCAGCTTCAGGTATTCTTTCTTATTCTTTGTTGTTGTTGTTGTTGTTGGGTGTTTTTTTTTTTTTTTTCTGGCCTTTGATCTATCATGCTTAAGTTAATTTTATTTATTTGTTTATGTTTAGGGTGATGACTACTATTTATATCTTGGAATTGCTGAACATTGTGTATTTTTACATTAGTTTGCAAGATTATATGTTTGAGTTAAGGCTAATTTAATTTTGAACTACCATTAACTTGTTATCACTTTGTTCAAGAATTAGAAAGTTTGTTTAAGAAAACCTCAACTTTGCCCTTGAAGTTAATAAGAAATTTTGATTTCACTAAATGGTCAATTTTTGAGTAAAAATGCAGAGAAATGATACAGAACTTAAGCGTCATTGGACACTTCATTGTTCTATTCTGCTACTTATTTTCAACTTTATGGCTTTGCAACAAAGGACAATGTTGATCATCATTAACCAATATTGCTTTTTCTTTTGATTTTCCCCATATCACAGCATAAAACCCAAGGGACGTTAACACTGCTCCAATCACACTGCAACACCAGAATCAAAAAATTACACATAAGATTAGAACTATAAAATAATTAACAAAAAAGTTAGGAGTACCTTCTAAGATGGAAGCATCTAATCTAGATGGGGAACATTCAATGGTCCATCACATGTTTTGACACCATATTGTAACCAAAAGACTAATCCAACAATTACATGAGTCTTTACATATTTAAGCCATTCCAACCTGGCCTATTTGTAATACTTCTCCTGAAACACTTGGACTTGATCATGTTTTTAGAGAATGCCCATTTACTAGTCTCTTACGGGCTGTTCTCCCCCCCTATCCTGTTAATTCCTTTTTGCAAGGATTTAGTTTTCAGGCTTGGTTAAAGAGCCACAGTTGTTTGCAATCCGAGTTTAATGGGGTTAAGTGGAACACCATGTTCTCCTTCATCATTTGGTCTCTTCGGTACTTTAGGATCCAACAACTTCATCATGGCAAGAGATTTAATATCGGCCTTGCTAAGGAATTTATTTGCTCTAAAGTTATTGAGTATCAAAACTCCTTTAGTGTGCAGGAAGCTTCCCATTCTAGAACCTTTATTGATGTGTGCTGGGAGCCTCCACCTTTTGATTTTATAAAAATGAACACTGATGGGGCTGCCGGTACTAATCCTGGTCAAGCTGGAGCTGGGGGTGTGTTTGGTGATCATAGGGGCCATTGGCTGCTAGGGTATACTCGGAACATTGGACATACTAATAGTCTGGGCTTTAGTAAGATCATTGTGGAGTAGCTTTTAATTTGCTTAATTCTGACTGTAACAATTTCCATCCACTTGCTAATCTCCGTGATGATTGCAGGGCTCTCCTATGCCAACTCCCTAAAGCTCGGTTGCATCATATCTACTGCGAAGCCAATACTGTTGCAGACCTTTTGGCTAAGATGGGAACTACCTTAGCTACTTCTGTTGTTGTTGTTGTTGTTGTTGTTGTTTTTGTTGGAGCTGTGGTGTCAAAGCTGCCCAAGAGGCAGCAAATGGAAAGAAAGCTGCACAGGTGGCAGCAAAATGAAATGAAGGGAGAGCTGCACCAAAGCGCGGTAGCAGCAGAGTGCAGCAAGCTATGCTGCAAATGTTGATGAAATGAGGCTGAAATGTTGCTGAAATGAAAGGAAAATGGAAGGCTGCAAAGTAGCAGCAAGATCAGCCACATGGAGCCAAACAAATGGAAGCGAGCGTTTTGATGTAATCTCGCATTAAATGTTTTGTACACTTTTCTTGTATTAAATAAGTATGAAAATTACTGTTGATGTATTGAGATATTTCTGTTATTATTATTATTTTTTTTTGAAACAAGATATTTCTGCTATTTAATAGCAGAACAAGAATGAGAAAAATGAGTTCTCACCTCACCTTAAGAGGAAACTCCACCGATGCTTCTCCCCTGCTCCTCCAAGTCCCTTTGCTTTCACCGAAAATCCTTCTTTCACCGAAAAATCCAACAGTTTTGGAACAGCATCCTTCTGATGTGTATTACATGCTATACTTAGACGTAATAGGGAACTTGGTTCCCAGGACCATTATTACTTAATTATACTCCCATCTTTTCTAGAGATATATATATGTATATAGATGTGGGACACGGGCTTTTACAGCTCACAAGGAACCTTTACTTCAACAATCCTCTAGGAAGAGGGCGCTCATAATAGCTGCAACGGCAATTGCTAATGGCTTAGAAACTGCTACATAAACAGGGCCCTTCAGGTGCAAACACCATAGCACCACAGCACCTATAATTGATGCAATAAATCCCTAAACAGACACAAACAGCTTATTATAACAACACTCCTAATTATATATCTAGTCTGATTTTTAGAAGATCATTAGTTTATATACCGAGTATATGACTGCAGCAACTGCTATTTTTGGTCTTAGAATCCAAGAACTGAGGTTTGGTTCTGCTATTAAGCATACTGGCAGAGACACAATGGTTCCAAAGAGATTGCTTAAGAAAACTACAACGAACTCTGCTGGGTATATCTTCATTACTTGTGGCTGCGAAGTGGTATAGTATTCAGGTTTTTCTTTCGTTGAAATTTTGCTGGTGTACAAAATGCATATTTACAACTGAAAAAGTTATCTGATGAAAATACCTGAACAATGTACCAGATCGAAAAAAGAAAGTTTTCAGCAGCAAGCAGGAGGCCTCTAATAAGCCAATTTGATTGTGATGACACTAGAGGCCATTTAAGTGAAACAGATGATGCAAAGGAAAAAACTGTTGGGCCCTTGTAGAAAAGGACCACTAAGGCACCTGGTATTGAGAATATATATTGTCCCTATACTTTTTGCCTGGGTACTTGAGCTTCTGAATACCAATCTTTCCATCCTTTTTCATGGCATCAAATAAAGAAAGGGTTATAATTAAATTTCAGTGGATGGACAAAGACAAGTGAAGGTTTGAGAGAATTTTCTTCAATTGAATGATAAAAAACACAGGTTAAAAATAGGGAGAAACCTGAAAATGATGGCAAGTATGAAGGTAAAAGCTGGTATGAGGTTTCTGATGGCAGAAGCAAGAGTTGGAGAGGTATTCTCTATGCCTTTATATCCCAATATCTGACCAAAAACTCTGCATCAAAAGATTAAAAAAAAATCTTTGTTTTGATGCCTCTCTAAGCATTAACGAAAAAAAACAAAAAAACAAAAAAACACACACACGCACACACACACACAAATTCAACATTGATGTGGAGAATATTTCAAACATGCATACCCAATAAACCCAAAGAGGCAGATTCTGAAATAAGAGGGAAACTGAATGAAGGAAGAACTACTGAGCTTAAGCTGCACGGATTCAGACATGAGGAAAGATGTTAGCAACTTTTGATTAATTTTTTTCCTGCAAGTAGATTATTATTAGAGATGAAAAGTAGCTAGACCTGCGAGAGATGAAGACGAAAGGTAACAGCAAAAAGTTGGTAATTGCAAAAGAGTAGGCAAAGACATGGTAGCTCATCCCCTTCAAAGTTGCAGCTATGAATAGAATGTTTGTTCCAACGTTGCAGCATTCAACTGCAACCATGGCTGCAAATGGCAGCACTTCCCTGTATCAGTCCCTCCTTGCCATGGTTGTTTCTCAAGCTAACTTTCCCTGGTAGTCAATCTAAAAATGTTAGAAGAATGCCATTTTCTCGTGCATCAGATTACTATATAGGAGAAAAAAACTACCATGGCCCACTATCGGGTCCTATTTGAATGTGCATCAGATTAATAGTGTTCCTTAGCGTGTTCTATCAGGTCCTATTGCTGAAAAAAAAAAGAAAAAAGAAGAGGATAAACGCCTCAAGCCTGCTTTGTTTTAATAGTTTTAAGGGAAAAAATTAAAATAAATTTAATTTTTTTTAAAAAATGTTATTTTAGTTTTCCACAATAAAAATTTATTTTAAAAAAATTAAATACTTGACTAACAAGCACTAGCGTTCGAAATCACACTAAATTATATAATAAGAAATATTACTCATATATTACATAAGTCTTAAAAATTGTAATTTTGAATGACAAAAAACATAGGTAAAAAAAAAAAAGAAAATCACTACTCACTACTCAAATTAATATCATTTTTATCATTTTTATCATTCTTAGACACCACATTTATATAAAATCTTGATAATTTATCTCTCTGTTTTCAATAATTGAGTTTTATGAATAATTCTCAACCATTGACAATAGAAGATGAATAGTAAAAATTTTGTATAAATATAATATGTAAATTTTATATATAAGTGAATTCTTATACATATATATATATATATGTTTGTGTGTGTACTCCAAGAGTTTCTTAATGGATTAAGAGCTTGAGATTTGGAATTAAAATTTCAAATTTAAACTTTAAGATGGGTGGAAAGGTATTAAAGGAAAGGAAGGGATGTTATTTGTCATATAATTTACCAAAAATATATGAGTAGAGATACAAAAGGCAAAAACTTAGGACGAAAAATTGAGACCAATAATGTGACATAATTTATGTTATTAAATAAATACATGTATATAATATTACGAGTCCTAATAAAGTGAAAAGAACTTAATATTAAATAATATAAAGTTTATTTTTTAATATTTTAGATGATATAACTTATAACATTGTTTCCTCAAAAATCCTCTAGTGGCCTCGCACGTGTGAAATCTGATGCGGGCGTGCCACTTACTTTGCTGAAAGTAAGAAAGGAGGACTTTCCCAACGACCCTCTCCTTCCTCACGGTCGACCTCTTCGCAGATGGCGGGAA